ATATTTGCCACAAAGCAAATCATCAATATTTTTAGTAATTTAGCAAAAAAAACTTCAATGTTGAACATGTTTTTAAAATCTGTAATACACTGCAAGCTTTGTCCTAAGATTAGCCATTTAGTTTTAAACAGATAACGTTTATAATCTCATTCTTATGCTCACATTATTTTATTCTAATTTCACTGCTTTCATCATCAATTAGCTATCAAAAAAAAAACTTCTTAAAAATCAAAAGACAACCTTTGAATTAGTTTTTGCAATGTGTGTAATCAACCAGTAGATCTTGTGAACTGGAAGGGGAGACTTAACTTTTGTAGGTGATTTCACATGGATATAATTTATTTAGTAATAATTGTAACTAATATTATTTATCTGGTGGTTAAAGGAACCTATTTAGCTCTTATGATTTTATAATAAAACATTTTTAAAGAAAAAAAGTGCATTCTTATATAATAACAACACATAGATAAAGAAACTGTATATTTTCCTATGCATTTATAAATATATTTTATTTCAAATTTATCAGCATAAGCTGATATTTATATAGCAAAAGCTACATGTGTTACAAAGCATATTCTGGGAATGCTAGCTTATACAGCAATATTGTGTTATTTTGGATTGTGTTGGATTATCTAAAATTAAGCTTGAATGAAATTAGGAGCCCAATATAATTATTAAAATAGAGGTCCTCTAATACAGTATTTTTAAAATTGTGCCCAAGTGAATCTCACAAAAATGGAAGACAAATGGAATTTTAAGGGGTAAGGACAGCAGATTTTCTGTTCTATTAAAAATCACTATTTATTTTCAAAAGTGTACTGTGGAGTTCAAACAATTAATTTTAAAAATGCTTATTTCATAATACAGTAAACAGGAAACCTGGCTCTTAGGAAAAGAAATCCAGCGTTACCCTCCCAAATCTTGCAGAATAGCTATACAAAGTGTCAGAATTTTAGACAATTTGATTGATTGATTAAATTATAGTCAGTTTAAAATGTTGTGTCCATCTCTGGTGTACAGCACAATTTTTCAGTCATACATGAATATATGTATATTCATTTTCATACTCTTTTCACCGTGAGCTACTACAAGATCTTGTATATGCTTCCCTGTGCTACATAGTATAAACTTGTTAATCTATTCTACATATACCTGTCAGTATCTACAAATCTTGAACTCCCAGTCTGTCCCTTCCCAACCCCTACCCAACTGGCAACC